AAAGTCTTAACTCATTCCAGTGTTAATCAAAAGTCCAAGTCCAAAATCTCATCTGAGACAAGGCAAGTCTCTTCTGGCTATGAGCCTGTAAAATCAAAAGCAAGTTAGTTACTTCCTAGATACAATGGAGGTACAGGCATTAGGTAAACACAGCCATTCCAAATGGGAGAAATTGGCCACAATAAGGGGCTACAGGCCCCATGCATGTCCGAAATCCAGCAGGGCAGTAAATCTTAAGGCTCCGAAATGAACTCCTTTGACTCCATGTCTCACATCCAGGTCACTCTGATGCCAAGGGTGGCTTCCACAGCCTTGGGAAGCTCCAGCCCTGTGGCTTTGCAGGGTACAGCCTCCTCTGGCTGCCTCCATGGGCTGGCATTGACTGTCTGCAGTTTTTCCAGGTGCATGGTGCAAGCTGTTGGTGGGCCTACCATTCTGGGGTCTGGAGGATGGTGGCCCTCTTGTCACAGCTCCACTAGGCAGTGCCCCAGTGGGGATTCTGTGTGGGGGCTCTGACCCCACAGTTCCCTTCTGCACTGCTGTAGCAGAGGTTCTCCATGAAGTCTCTGCCCCTGTAGCAAACTTCTGCCTGGACATCTGTCAGGCATTTCCACATATCCTCTAAAAATCTAGGCAAATGTTCCCAAACTTCAATTCTTGATTTTTGTGCACCCTCAGGCACAATACCATGTGTAAGCTGCCAAGGTTTGGGGCTTACACCCTCTGAGGCAATAACCTGAGCTGTATATTGGCCCCTTTTAACCACACCTGGGATGCAAGGCACCAAGTCCCAAGACTACACAAAGCAGCAAGCCTGGCCCACAAAACCATTTTTATCTCCTAGACCTCCAGGCCTGTGATGGGAGGGTCTTCTGTGAAAACCTCTGATATGCCTTGGAGACACTTTCCCTATTGTCTTGGTAATTGACATTTGGCTCCTCATTACTTATGTGAGTTTCTGCAGCCAACTTGAAAATCTCCTCAGCAAATGGGTTTTTCTTTCCTATCACATCATCAGGCTGTATGCTCTGCTTCCCTTGTAAACATTGGTTCCAATTCCAAACCATCTCTTTGTGAATGTATACAACTGAATGCTTTTAAGAGCACACAAGTTATCTCTTGAATGCTTTGCTGCTTAGAAATGTCTTCCACCAGTTATCCTAAATCATCTCTCTCAAGTTCAAAGTTCCACATATCTCTAGGGCAGGGGCAAAACGCCACCAGTCTCTTTGCTAAAGCAGAGCAAGAATCACCTTTATTCCAGTTCCCAACAAGCTCCTCATCTCCGTCTGAGACCACCTCAGCCTGGATTTCATTGTCCATATCACTATCAGCATTTCAGTCAAAGCCATTCAACAAGTCTCTAGAAAGTTCCAAACATTCCCACATTTTCCCGTCTTCTTCTGAATCCTCCTAACTGTTCCAACCTCTGCCTGTTGCCCAGTTCCAAAGTCACTTCCACATTTGGGGGTATCTTTACAGCAGTACCCCACTCTCTGTGGTGCCAATTTACTGCATTAGTCTCCTTCCATACTGCTATAAAGTGCAGGCCAACATAGGGTCATTTATGGAGGAAAGAGGTTGAACTCACTTACAGTTCAGCATAGCTGGGAGACCTCAGGGAACTTACAATCAAGGTGGAAGGTGAAGGGGAAGCAAAGCACCTTCTTCACAGGGTGGCAGGAAGGAGAAGTGCCAAATGAAGTCGGAAAAGCCCCTTAGAAAACCGTCAGATCTCATGAGAGCTCACTCACTATCATGAGAACAGCATGATGGGAGGAGAAAACCACCCTATGATCTAATCACTTCCTACCAGGTCCCACCTTCAACACGTGGGGATTATGGGAACTAATTTAAGGTGACATTTGGGTGGGGACACAGCCAAACCATATCACACACTCATCCCACACACACACTCACCAACCACACATGCACACCACAGAGACACACGCACACACCCTCACCACACGTACACACTCGCCACACCTCTATCACGCACACACATTTCTGCCTGACTATAGCAAGGCAACTACGTGCTGCCCCTGCCCCCCAGTTTCCTCCATGTCCGATGTTACCCACTGTCCCATCAGCCTCCCTTGTGGGAGTGCCTGGATGAGAGGCAGCAGAGCCAGCGCCCCCAGCACTGTTGCTGGAGGAGCGTGTGTGTCCAGGCTGGGCCAGGGCCGGGGGGGGACGCCAGCTCCTCAGAGCACTGGGTTGTTCACGATGTCCCTGGTCAGGGGTTCTCTGGTGTCCAGTTCCTGGGACCGCCATGGAGGGCTTTGCAAGCATGGGGGAGGGGACCCTCAGGACTGGCTTTCAGGAGGGCAGTGGAGGAAGGGGCTCCTACCCAGAGGAAGCACTGGGGCAGCTCCTGGAGCCCGCTGTGCCACCATGACCCATCACCATCCCTGGGCACCTCCACCACAGGGGCCAGGACGCCGGAGGGACCCCACAAGGGGCCAAGTCTAACAACCCGTGAGACCCCCCGTACATGGTCTGCCACTAGTTTTTAGCTGCGGCTCTTTTTTGTCAATGAAATCTCACAAGACAGCAAAGCAGACACAGGCCTAGCTGCCCAGCTGCAAGTAGGAGTGGGGGTCAGGCTACCCAACCTGTCGGCCCCCAAGTCTGTGAGCAGCAGGCACGCCTGAGCATGCAAGAGGCACCATGGAAGGTGCCAGAAAAAATATCCCTGTCCTTGTGGTGCTGCGTCCAACTGGGAGGCAGACACAGATCCTTTGTAAACAGAGCAGGGCTGGCTGTGAGCACAGCATAAGGACCTCAGAGTGACCTGGAGGATCAGGCAGGCTTCCTGGAAGAGGTGAGGCTGCGCTGGGCTCAAAGGGTAAGCAGCAGTGCCTGGGCCAGGGGGAAGGGAGGCTGAGGCTACACAGAGCGAGAGCTGTGGCGGTCAAGGCCAGGGCTCTGGGGACAGACTGCCTGGGACTTGTCCCAGCTTCTTCCCTTCGGAGCTGCATAGACCTGGACGAGTTACTCAACCTCGTGGTGACTCAATGTCCTTTTCTGTAAATGGGGCATTTTGGTCCAAGAGCTGTGGTGAGATGAAGCTACTTGAGCACATGGGGTGTTTGGAGCGTGGCCTGAGCGCAGGGTGTTTGTGGCATGTCTCCGGGCGTTACTGGGGAGGCTGTTTCCAGGCTGCCTGGAGCCGGGCTTGTGCGGGTCAGGACTGTGCTGAGGATGGTTCTTCCCGGCCCTCAGCCCAGGTTAGACCCAAGTCCATTTGCAGTGGGCACGCGGGGCTGCTGACGAGTCCCCCAGGCTGCCCCTGCAGTGCCAGTCCAGGGCGGTCCCACAGACTGTGTTCTGGAACACAGAACCCTGGGCTTCCGCAGATAAATGGCTCGCCCAGATCCATGGAGTGTGGGAAGCTACCCTTTTTTTTTTGAAATGCAATTCTTTATTAGAACGCAAGTTTGTGTTTGCAACCATTCAACAGAAGGGGTAAAACAAAAGCAATTCACATCATCATTTCCCCACCCCCAACCCCACCTTCTAGGGCTTAAGTGTATCGGGCTTCCACTTAACCCCTGACTGGCTCTTGTTCCAGGGTTGAAATCACTCCAGAACCTATGCTCTTTCCACTTACCTTGTGGCTCCCAAGCTGGGCGTTCAGGGCCCCCAGTGACTTCAAATGCCTGCGCCACTCCCTCTCGGGCCTCTCCAGGTCCTGATGTGCTGGACACCTCCTCAAATCCAGCTGAGTGCAGTTTCTCCCACTTCCCAGGAAAGCCTGTCGCCTCCCATCCCTGCGTCTGCACGAAGCAAGTACCGATGGACTGGCGCCTGCTTCGTGGTGCCATGGCACGTCTGGGCCCTTGTGTCTTGCCCAAGCTGCAAGTCCAGCTCCTTGGCACCCACCGGGCACTGGGACAGTGTGGCCCAGGGGTGTGCCCTGAGCTCAGAAAGCCACTGCCCCATCCAGACACATGGCCTCCTCCGTAGCTTCTGTTCTGCAAAACATCCACAAACCTCCGGATCACTGGCCTTTATTTCAAAACTAAACTGAAAAAATGTTAAAGTCAGTCGTTTATGGTGTAGAAAGAAACAGTTTAAATTATTGAAGAGCTACTTAATGTTTCAAAGCGAAGGCCACAGCAGGTGACGGGTGACTGTGCTGCCCACAGGCCCCTGCAAGCTGCGTGTGAGGAGCGTGCACCACACCCAGGGCAGAGCCCAGACCCCAGGGTCCATCGGCCTCCATCTGCGCTGGGCTCCTCCGCAGGGCCTTTGGCTTTGCCCCCAGGGGAGGCATCTCGCTCCCGGCAGACCGCTCCCATCCCGCTCTGCCCTCTCCTCCTCTCTTTCTCCCTGCTAACCCCATTAGGGAGCTGAAGCAGACTCTATTGTTCACAGAAATGGAATCATTTGATGTCCTTTTTATTTTCTAAAGTCAGCAGATAAAAATGTTCTGTCTCTCTACGACTGGGCAACAGTGTGCACAGTGCTGCTTCTGGAAGCTTCTGAGGGCACAGCTCACCTGAGACTGACCCCCGTCCCAGGCCCAGTGGGCTCTCTCGTGGCCCCAGGGCTCAGGATCCCCAATCTCCCTTGTTGGTTCTCGTGTTCATTCATTCCCGCCAGGAGAGTGGTGGAGAAAAGGGTCTCTCCCCCAAAGGAGATGTCAGCGGCTCCTGGAGGCCTGCTGTGTCATTGCCCATCCCCATGCCTGGCACAATGGGGGAAGGGAAACCTCGGCCCTCTGAAGTTTTGCTGATAAATGAACTCACAGCCGGATGTGGTGGCTCACGCCTGTAATCCCAGCACTTTGGGAGGCCGAGGTGGGTGGATCACCTGAGGTCAGAAGTTACAGACCAGCCTGACCAATATGGTGAAACCCAGTTTCTACTAAAAATACAAAAATTAGCCAGGCATGGTGGAGTGTACCTCACCTGTAATCCCAGCTACAAGGGAGGCTGAGGCAGGAGAATTGCTTGAACCTGGGAGGTGGAGGTTGCAGTGAGCCGAGATCATGCCACTGCACTCCAGCCTGGGCAACAGAGAGAGACTCTGTCTCAAAAAAAAAAAAAAAGAAAAGAAAAATGAGCTCACATAAGGCAGAGTAATAGGTGAAAAGGCACACAAATGTATTTAATGAGTGTACATGGGAGCCTTCAGAATAAGACCCACAGATAAGGGGAAACTGTTTTCTGCTTAGGTTCAACAAATTCTGGACAGCGGTGAAATATGACTGCACAGCAGAGCACGGGCTAATGTTAGGCCCCTGAGCGGGATGCCCAGCAGGGCCTGTCTAGATTCTTCCTGGCCTCTCTGGGCAGCTTCCTTTCTTCTGGGTGTGGGCAGGGTCCTCTCCACAATGGGGTCTTGCGCAGTCCAACAAGGTAGGTCAGAGAGTTTCTTTGTGGCCAGTTCTTAAGCAGCACGGTGGGAGAAATTTTGAGCAATATTTTTAGGTTTTAAGGTGGGCTTTGGGGAGAAGAGGTTGTGGTTTCTCTGACTCACCTCGAGGAAAAGGGATTCTAGTTTCCATGGCTGGGGGAATGGGGCTGAGAGGCAGGAGGGCATGGGAAGGTCAGAGAAAAGCTTTTGCTTCTGAGGCCTTCATTTTGGGGTGCTGTTTTCTGAACCCCAAGACTGGACACCTCATCCACAGGGGGGACTGCACAGAGAGCCAGAGTCAGAAGCTCCTTTGAGGCACCCTGGTCCATGGTGTGCATGATTTTAGTCGTGGGTCTTTTCTCTAATTACCTCCATTCGTTCCCTTGGGCCAGCCCTGAGGGGTGCTGAGACTGGGCTCCAGGGAGATGCTGCTACCCAGGCTGGGGCTGAGGACACCGAGTGCCACCTGCACCCCAGCAGCACACATCACACATCACATGGTTTCCTGTGTGTGTGGCCTTGGATTGATTCTTCCACCCGGAATAGGAACCCTGGAAAGCAAATCATTTTCCATCCTTGCTTTAACCAAAATAAAGGCTTTGGCCACCATGCCCAGAGGCCCTCCCAGGCCAGCTCCTCCAGGGGTGGCCCCAGGCCTGCTATGTGCACCCCCACAACTTGGCTCCCCTCAGAGCCAGGTTTCATGAAGGGGGTTTGCTCTCCTCTGCTCTACATGGTCACTTCTGCTCTGAAACAACTGAGCTCTTCCCTCTGCTGCCCAATTGCTTACCGTCTTGGGTGCCAACCCCATGCCCTTTCTGGATCTGGCCCCTTCTTGCACTTTCCAGCAGCTTCTAGAAACCTGCCCTTCTCTGCATGCAGAGCTTTCCTCTCCGGATCTCCTACCTCTCCAAGGCTCTCCCTCGTCAGCCACTGCCCCCAATGTGGGTTTCATGGGGACCTGTCTTCAGCCTCCTTTCATTGTGGCCTCTCCCCTCAGGAAGGAGCTGTGTGGTGAGGACACAGTCCCTTTCCACTTAGTGCACACACTTTGCCCTTCCTTATTGATCCTCCCACCTCAGCCTCCCAAAGTGCTGGGATTACAGGTCTGAGCCTCTGCACCAGGCCTGGACAGTGCTCTAAATGCTTTGCACCTATGAGTTCACTTCGTCCTCCCAAAAATTCCTACACAATAGATATATTATTGCCCCCATCCCGCCCCCAGAGCTGCAGAATCTGAGGCACAGAGAGGTAAAGGAACTTGTTCAAAGTCACACAGCTCACAGACAGCAAAGCTAGAATTTGAAGCCAAAGAACTGTGGCTCCAAAATCTAAACTGCCTTCTAGACCTGATATGAAGATTAACTAAGGCTCAATGCCAAATACCTCTCCTCTTGGCCCTGTTTTATTATAACAGTAGAGTCCTTGTGAAACTGAAACCACCTTAGCAAAATTCTGACTGAGACAGCGAAAGAGATCTAACTTAACCGACTCCATCTTGCTTCTAACCTCCAAGCTGTCCTTGTTCCTTCCTGGACACAGGCTGAGCTGACTTTGGGAGAAAGTTAGTTGATAGTTTAAACAAAGACAGTAACAGCCCTTTTCCAAAGCAGACCTCTTCTTACCTGCAGACTAGATTGCCTTTCTAGAACTAACATTAGCCACAAGATTAGAAATTATGGTTTAGGAGTCATGCAGCTGGAGGCCTCAAGATTCCGGCCCTTCCTAAACTGCTTCCTAACCTGCTCAACATCAGCACTTGAGATATTTTGCAGACCCTGAGCTTGATGGATCAGCTGTTACCACCCAGATCAATAAACTGGCTCATCTGATCTTGGGGCCCCACCCAGGAACTGACTCAGTGCAAGAAGACAGCTCCAACTCCCTGTGATTTCATTTCTGACCAATCAGCACTCCTGGCTCACTGGCTTCCCCCCACCCACCAAGTCATCCTGAAACACTCTGCTCACCAGCTGGGTGTGGTGGCTCACGCCTGTAGTCCCAGCACTTTGGGAGGCCAATGTGGGCAGATCACAAGGTCAGGAGATAGAGACCTTCCTGGCTAACACGGTGAAACCCTGTTTCTATTGAAAATGCAAAAAGAATTAGCCGGGTGTGGTGGCATGTGCCTGTAGTCCCAGCTATTCAGGAGGCTGAGGCAGGAGAATCACTTGAACCCGGGAGGTGGAGGTTGCAGTGAGCCAAGATCGCGCCATTGCACTCCAGCATGGAGGACTGAGCAAGACTCCATCTCATAAAAAATCCTCTGCTCCCCAATTGCTCTGGGAGACTGATGTGGGTAACAATAAAACTCCCATCTCCCACACAGCTGACTCTGTGTGAACTACTCTTTACTGCAATTCCCTTGTCTTGAATTGGCTCTGTCCAGGCAGCAAGCAAGATGAGCCCTTTGGGCGGTTACAAAACCCCACCAATTTTCAATATTTGAGGTCAAATAGGACAAGCTCAAGCCACTCTTTAGGTGTCTGTCCACTGTGCTCTGCATGTATTTCTCCAGCAGCTGCAATTCACTGAGGGCCTGTCGCATGCCACGCATTATGTGCGGGAATTTAGGTTCAGCATCTCTAATCCAACAATGACAACCCTGAAGGTAGATTTGAGCATTTGCCCATTTTACAGATGAGGAAACGGAATCCGAAAGAGCTTTTGTGAAAAGCTGAGCCAAGATTCAATTTCAGGCATGTGTGACTTCAAGGCCTGAGGGCTTTCCATCCCGAGGTCTCCTGGCTCCACAGTGATGGCCCTCCTTGGTTCCTGTGTCTGACCTTAGACTCTAAACCCTTCGGGATCACGCATGTTTGCATCCCCAGGCTCCACAACAGTGTTAGGCAGGTGACAGAACTTGTTGGTTAAGTGGGTAAGCAGTGAGCGAATGAATGGGCTAAGCCCTGCGCCCTTCTGTCCAAGAGCTCAGAAAAGGCATCCTGCCCAAAAACTGCATTCCTGCTGGCCCCAGGACCAAGGCACATCCTGCTACAAAGACCTGCAGAGCCGTCCTTCATCCAGAATGTGGTGCCCCCTCCCCATGCCCTCCGCCACCCTGGCCCCCAGGTCTGATCTCTGCAGAGCCACCCTTCCACACTCACCAGTTACAGGATGGGCCTTCTCGTGAGTCCTGCTGTCACTCACGGAAGGAACTGGCTCTGTGCCCCTCAGCCCCAAGGGGCAAGTGGCCGCCCTGCCCGAATGCCCAGGCTCTCTGGAATGAGTCACACCCTGCTGGACAGTCACCATCCACAAATGCCTATGGCCATTTCCAGCACGCTGTGGGTTCGGGGTCTCTGCTTCTCACGGTTCCTCCTTTTCTTGGGATCTGTTTTTGGGAAGTGGTACCACTGTCCTTCTAGTCACCCAAGCATGTGTGCTCAGAGTCTGTCCACCACGTGCCACTCAGTCACTGGGTGCTGCAGAGTCCTTCTGAGTAGGCTGGTCTAGCACCCAAGCCCAGGCCCCTCAGTCTCTCCTCAGCCAAGAACGGGACTTCCTCTGTCCCTGAGCTCTCTCGGGTGCCCTGTGCTCCGGCCTGGCCGGCCACCCTCTCTTTCTTCCCCAAAAAGCCTTGCCCACTGCCTTTGCCATGGGATTGCTGTTCCTAGAATTCAACAACCCTGCTAGCCACTCCTGAGTCCCCCTGATTCACTCCCCACACCCCACCTTCTGCTTCCCTCCTCCTTCTCCCTTTCCCCAGGAGGGAAATTGAAGACAGTTAAAAATAGAACAAATCAAAGTGCACAGGCCAAAGCCAAGCACTGCTCAGCAGGAAGCACCTGAGGCTTGGTCCCCCTGCTGGAAGGAGCCCCAGGCAGGCCTCATCCTCCCCTCCCTGCCACCTCCTCTGCCTTCTCTGTATGTTCAAATCCTGCCAGACTTGCACCCAGCTGGAGAGATGATGTGCAGACTGCAGGCTGTTGGCGGTGCATGGGGAGCCAGGAGCTCGGGCACGCGTGGATTTAAGAGCAGTTCTGTCCGTGCTCGCTGGCCGCCACCTTGCTGTGCTCCAGGAGCAGGTCAGAGCCCCCAGGGGTCCTTCTGTGAGCCATAGTCTGGAAGAAAATGGCAGGGGAGGGAGTCTGGAGCAGGGGACTAGGGTTGCCAGATAAAACACAGACACTCAGGCCTAGTTAAATACATTTCAGAGCAATTGCTAATCATTTGCTAGTATAAGTATATCCCAGGCAATATTTGGGATATATTTAAGCTAAAAAAAAAGTTTATTTGTCGTTGATGTGAAATTCAAATTTAACTAGGTGTCTTGTTTTGTTTGCTTCGCACAGGTGCTCAATCAGGCACCCGTGGGTCGCCCCATGGGAAACCCTGCGGGGCCTGTTCCCCATCCACGCCCGGCGCTCCAGCACAGGGGAGGGAAAGAGAGGTGGGTGGAAGGCTGTACTCTTTCCCTAGTGCTGCCTCAACAAAGTTACACAAACTGGGGCGGGGGGTGAGGGGGTAAGAACAACAGAAAGTTGTCTCACAGTTGCGGAGGCTGGAAGTCTGGAATCAAGGCATGGGCAGGGCCTCGCGCTCTCTGACGGCTCCGAGGAGGGGAACTTGCCTTGCCTCTTGCAGCTCCCGGGTAGTGTGCCTTGGCTCTTAGACACCCCACTCCAACCTCTGCCTCAGTTGTCATAAGGCGTTGTCTCCAGTGTGTTCCTGAGTCTCTGTTTCCTCTGCTTCTAAGGACACCAGTCATTACAGGAGGGTCCACCCGAATCGAGTGTGATCCCATCTGAATCTAAAAGGACCTTATTTCCAAGTAAGATTGTGCGGAGCCTCACGCCTGTACTCCCAGCACTTTGGGAGGCTAAGGTGGGAGGCTCACCTGAGGTCAGGAGTTGGAGACCAGCCTGACCAACATAGAGAAGCCCCATCTCTACTAAAAATACAAAATTAGCTGGGCATGGTGGCATGCGCCTGTAATCCCAGCTAGCTACTCAGGAGGCTGAGGCAGGAGGATCGTTTGAACCCGGGAGGCAGAGGTTGCGGTGAGCGGAGATCACACCATTGCACTCCAGCCTGGGCAACAAGAGCGAAACTCCATCTCAAAAAAAAAAATCAAATATCTGCTCCAGAAGTCCATAAAGGCCAAATCCATGCAACTCCAGGCAGGAGCTGGCACTCAGTGACACTTCGGGCCTGGATGAGGAGGCTAGAGCCTCCTTCACCCTCTTCTTGCAAAGGGCCTTTCAGAATGGGCACCCACCCCACCCCAGAAACCAGCAAAATGGCGCCAGCATCACTACAAGAAAGCTCTGGAAGCAGTGTGTGTGTTCCTGGGGCCATTAGTCAAATCTGTGCAGGGTGGAGGTTCTGTGAGAGGCTGAGCTTCTGCGGAGGGAAAGGAAGAGCTGTGCCCAGGCCTGCTAAGAGACTGCCCAGGCCAAACGCCCCCATGCCCTCAGGCCCAGAGTCCATTCCGTCCTCCCGCCTGGAGCCTGGCTGAGGGAGGGAGTGCCAGGCTGATGAAAGTGAGAAGCTCAGCCGGGCATGGTGGCTCTTGCCTGTAATCCCAGCACTTTGGGAGGCCGAGGTGGGTGCCTCACCTGAGATCAGGAGTTTGAGACCAGCCTGGCCAACATGGTGAAACCTCGTCTCTACTAAAAATAAAAAAATAACAATAATAATAAAAGATTAGCCAGGCATGGTGGTGGGCGCCTGTAATCACAGCTACTTGGGAGGCTGAGGCAGGAGAATCGTTTGGACCTGGAAGGTTGGAGGTTGCAGTGAGCCAAGATCACACCATTGCGCTCCAGCCTGGGCAACAAGAGCGAAACTTTGTCTCAAAAAGAAAAAAAGAAAACGAAAGTGAGAAGGCTTAGGTGAGGGATTGCGCGCTGGCTTCTGACAGCCTCAGAGGGGCAGAGGAGTTGGGCGCTGCCGCTCCCTGGGGAGCCTCTGGGAATCCCACTGATTCCCGCCAGCAGTGGGGCCCGGCCCTGCCGCAGCCTCGTCATGGAGCCCAAACCGTGCTGTGAAAACGCACAGGGCCGCGGGCGGACACACAGGCTGGGCTCCCTCCCTTGTTTTCTGGGGCCTCTGGGTGGAGAAGCCCTCGCTTCAGCCACCTCATAATTAATACTGGAATAATGGAGTGCATTGTCGGGGCAGCCAAAGGAATAGGAGCGAGGTGGAGAGCAGTCCACGATGTCACTCCGAAACCGGCAGCCTGGCCCCCAGCACACACACGCAGGGTGGGCTCCTTCTCAGGGCCCTGCGCTGCCTCCACCTCCCCCTCGGCACGCGTCTTCTCATGGGCACACGGGAGACGGCACCACTCTTGCCCAGGACCTGGCTGCCTCTCCGGGGAAAGGGGGTGAGAGGACGTCCCTGTAAGGCTCTCCCCTCATTGGCGGGGTCTTCACGACACACTTGATTTTCTGGGCCTACGGCATCCTCTTTCTAATCAGATAAAGGCTCCAAACCTCCTTCCCGCCTTCCTCCCTTCCTCCCGGGCAGTCACCCTCACAGCCCTGGAAGAGTCTCCAGAGATGTGGAAATTCAAAGGCTGAATGCTCCATTATGTGGCTCTGGCAAATGGCTTGTCTCCTAGGGAGAGATTCGAAGGAGTGGGTCTTTGTGGAGCTGGAGATGCTCTGACCCGCCCCGGGCGCTGTGGAGCACGCGGCGCCTTGCACGTGTCTGGCCCAGAGCCTACTGGGCATGACTTGTGTATCTTGAGAAAAGTGCCATTGGTAAGCAGGATCGGCCCTGACGCAATGACTGGAATACATATTGTTTTATCTGGATTTGTTTTGCTTTCTTTTCTTACTTTGGGCTCTGAGGTCCATGTGCACACCCTGCATCCTGCAAGATTGTTGCGTAGGTACCAGGTATTGATCGACTTACCACCTATGCAACTTACGACCATTCGACTTTACGACCACAATCCCTAGCCACGACTGCTCCGCGTCTGGCAGCGCAAACGTTGCCCAGCTGGGCGGACGACAGTGCGGACCGGCTTCCGGCAGCACTACCATCTCCACGTGCACCATTTCAACTGTACATATAGCCTACTCAACTTACGACCAAATCGTGTTACGACCAGTCCGAGGGCCCGACCGTGGTCGTAAGTCGAGCACTAGCTGTACATACATGCCATGGTGGTTTGCTGTCTCCATCTCCCCTACCCGTCACCTCCATCAGGCATTTCTTCTGGTGTTATCCCTCCCCATTCTCACCACCCCACCACCACTTCGTCTCCTCCCCTCCAGCCCTCCCACCTAGCCCAGTGAGTGTTGTTCCCTTCCCTGTGCCCAAGGGTTCTCATTGTTCATCACCCACCTATGAGTGAAAACATGCAGTGTTTGGTTTTCTGTTCTTGTGTCAGTTTGCTGAGAATGATGGTTTCTAGATTCATCCATGTCTCTACAAAGGACAGGAACTCATGGTTTTTTATGGCTGCATAGTATGACTATACTTTAATATTTTAATAGGAAGAAGAGTGCTCATCTCTTAGTCACCTGCTCACACACCTCCGCCGGGGCCCCATCTTAGCCAGGACACTGTTCCCAGACAGATTGTCTTTCTCTGATTGGGAAGTGACAACTCAGCCTCTCCAGAGGGAGAGCTGAGCACAGAGAGGCCCCTGCAAGGAGAGAAGCAGCTTCAGGGAGCCGCCCGGAAAACAAAGGCTCTTGGGGTCCTGAGACCCCTGTCCTCAGACCAGAAGGATCAGTGCAACAAAGAGGGTCAGCCTCTGCTGACATCAGCAAGACCCCAAATAACAGGACCCGGGAAAGAAGCTTTGTCACAGACCACATCTGGGGAGGCGAAGGGGAGGAGGAAGGAAGCTGCTCTCTCACTCCTCTACATGGGGTCCTGCGGTGGCCGGGGACAAACCACGTGAGAAAAATGTAACTGAAGCCTGAGTTGACAAAGTCTGAGACGGAAAGAATTTATGGGTGTCATGAAATAAAGTTTACGGTCAACTTCATCCGACACACATATGGGGTGGGCAGAATCGTTACTGTGCTGTTGGCTCTCAGGCCACCCGCGTAACCGCGGTTAATGTGCCTCTCACAGGGGCACACCCTGCACTTCCGGGGTCTGCGGAGGGGAGCCCAGTCCCACAGCACAGCTGCTGTTCTCCAGATCCGCGAGGCCCTGACCTTTCCCCTCTCTGGGGAGAGACGCTCCAGCACTGAAATGAAAAGGTGAGTGAGCTCTCTTTGCTGGGCTTCTCTTTCAGGATGTTTCTGAATAGTAAACCAGAAAATGAAATGTAAGGGAAGGCCGTCTGAGCATGAACCAAAACCTCCGTGGCCTCCAGCAAAGCCATGTCATCAGCTTGCCTTCCTAGCACCACGCATGAAGCAAGAGTGGCTGGAGGTGACCCCCAACTTCCCAGCCTCCCCCAGCACCATTTATTTGTGAGTACAAATGGGAAAGAATTGCAGCTTGTGTGTTACAGGAAAGGTGAGGTGGAAATGATTTCATAACTTGACTTTTAACATCTGTGATAGCCAGAAGGAGAGGGTCCAACAGCAGAGAAGACTTTCAAAGTAAAGCTGTTCTTAGATTCCTCCTCCCCAGCATTCAGGTCTTCTCCAACTCCTGGCATCTTCTTTCTTCCACCTCTCAGGGGTCCAGAGCTTCCGTGTTGCCCACTGCCCAGACCCCCGCTCTCTGGCTCTCACCTGGCCTTTGCCTCCAGCACAGAGTCTTATGATCCCTGATAACTTTCTCTCTCTCTCCCTTTCTTCTAAAAGTGATCCTGAGCTAGGAAGTCTCCCAATATTTTACTTTTCTGTAGTGATAATAAAGAAAGAAAAGAAGAAAGGTGTCACAGTGGGAAAGACCAAACAGATCAAGAGGAATAAAAGACAAACCACAGAATGGGAGAAAATATTTGCAAAAGATATATATGACAAAGGACTCTTGTCTAAAATATACAAAGAACTCTTACAACTCAACAAAAACCAAAATAAATACTCTGATTAAAAAATAGGCTAAGACTTTAACAGACACCTTACCAAAGAAGACATACAGATGGCAAACATGCATAAGAAAAGATGCCCCACGTTCTAAGTCATCAGGGAAATGCAAATGACAACAGCGGCCACTACACGCCTAGTAGAATGGCCAAAATCCAGAATGCTGATAACAACAAGTGCTGGCAAGGATGTGGAGCAATGCAACTTCTCGTTCATTGCTGGTGGGAATGCAAAGTGGTACAGTCATGTTGGAAGGCACTTTGGCAGTTTCTTGCAAAGCTGAACATACTCTTAACATATGATCCAGCAATTATGCTCCTTGGTATCGACACAAAAACCTGCCCATGGATGTTTATAGCAGCTTTATTCAGAATTGCCAAAACTGGGACGCAACCAAGATGTCCCGCAGTAGGTGAATGGATGAATAAACTGTGGTCCGTTCAGATAATGTAATACTATTTAGCATTCAAATGAAATGAAGCCAGGCGTGGTGGCAGACACCTGTAGTCCCAGCTACTCGGGAGGCTGAGGCAGGAGGACTGCTTGAGGTCAGGAGTTCAAAGCTGCAGTGCACCGTGACCAAGCCTGGGAATTGTCACTGCCCTCTAGCCTGGGCAACAAAGCGACAGCCTGTCTCAAAATAAATAAATAACAAAAAACTAAACATAAAAGAACCCTGAGTGCATATTACTAAGTGAAAGAAGGCAGTATGAAAAGGTATGATTCCAACTGTGTGCCATTCTGGAAAAGGCAAAACTCAGTGAAAATCTCAGTGGTTACCAGAGTTTAGGTATGAAGGGGGGAAGGACAAGCAGGTAGAACGCAAAGGAGTCTGAAGGCAGCGAAACTGCTCTGTGCAGTGCTGTAACAGTGGGTCCATGTCATGATGCATTTGCCCAAACTCACAGAATGTACAACACCAAGAGTGAACCCTCATGTCAAAACTCTTCTCTTTGGGTGATAATAACATGTTAGTGAAGGATCACGAATTGTAATGAATTCACACTCTGGTGGGAAGTATTGATGATGGGGGCCGCTATGCATATGTGGGGGTGGGGAGTATATGGGAAATCTTTCTACCGTCTCAGATTTACTGTGAATCTAAAGCTGCTCTAAAAATACAGTCCATTAAAAAAAAAAGAAAGAGAGGGTCTGCACAAGTCCATGTCCATTTTTTCTCTTCTCCTTTCTTATTCTCATCTTTTTCCTTATGTGAGAAACATAAATACTTTTGGGGAAGTAAATTCTTCTAATCTTTAAAGCTGGCCCTGGCACCTTGACTAGTGCATTTGCAATACATTCCCGCATGACCTCTGGACAAACTTACAAAACTTAGGCAAGACGATGTGCACCTTGTCCCTCTCTGAACCTCTTACCTGCTTCCCACAACCACTGCTGTGGTACTCTGCACACCCCACACCTCCTACTGCCCTTCACACAGAACCCTCTGTCATCACTTCTATTGAGAAGAGTCAAAAGTCCTGCAGTAGCCACACAGTGATTTCAACAGAAGGAATTTAACACAGGGAACTGGTTACAAAGGTGATGAAGAGCTGAAGGAAAAAAAGGGGCCCAGGAACATTGACAATAATGAACAAGAAGCAGCTACTGCCCCAAGTGCTATGGGGAGCAATGGGAAGGGACAGGGTGTATTGTTGGTAGAGATGGCATTTCACTATGTTGGCCAGGCTGGCCTCAAACTCCTGACCTCGTGATCCACCTGCCTTGGCCTCCCAAAGTGCTGGGATTACAGGCATGAGCCACCATGCCCGGCCAAGAAGGCTTTTTTAATAAGTACTTAAAAAAAAGTGTTAGACATAGTTGACTTGTTCCTCTGATTAAAAATAAGAACAGGGTTTTGTTCATTCTCCGAGGTGTTCACTTTGGGAATCCACCATTAAGTGATTAGTGAGACAATTACGGCTGTGACCGAACACAGCAAAACAGGCGCTTTAACTTCAGTGTAACAAGAGTTTTTCCCTTACTTTGCTATTTGTCGATTCGGTGTACCCTCCCTCCTGCCTTAATGATTCATAGTTTAAACTTGTCTACATGATTTATATAGAGGCTTGGAGACACCTATGATTAAGCTCCGGCTCTCAAACAGACACCCACAGGACCCCGTCCTTCGCCTCTCCCCAGCACCCCACCATCCCATGAGCTGCTGAAGACAGAGGACCTGCAAACCGCCTCTGAACAGGAGGAAGCCAGGAAGGAGCCAGTGGGAGAAATTGCCTCCGGGGTCCAGAAGCAGGAGACTAGTAAGTCAGTGCACCCCCAGGCTTGAGCTAAAAATGAGGCTCCCACCCTATTGGTCTTTGCAAATCACTTCATCTCACTGGGCTTCACTCTACTCCTAGGACACAGGGAGAGCCACTACCCAAGACTGTCTTGAGGGGGAACGATGTTAATAACAACGACTGTGAGTCTCTTTTCCTGTGCACTGATTACCAGTGCTGTATGAGTGCTTATTATTAATAATAATAATTTAGTGCCGACTTTACCGCTTTTGTGTAACAGTGAGTACCTGGATTCTAATTATCTGTCTTATTTTAATATTTATGGAATTAATCAAACTTTTTAATGGAAAACCCCAAATGAAATTACCAAGAGCATGCTTCAATGAAGACAGATGCGGCACGCTGTGGGAAAAGACAGCTCAGCTTTGTAGTATTACTGGGGACAGCTCAGGGTGCCGGCTGGCCCCTGAGCCAGGCAGGGTGGCAAGGCACAGCCTGGAGCCCTAAGGCAGGGCCTGTGGCATCCCAGGCAGCAGCCCATCTCTGGTCCCCCAAGAAACAGGGTCTCCACAGCCCAGCTGCCACCCATGCTCATAACAGGGGTCAGGGGTTCATCTGCTCATCAAGGCTAAACTGTACACTGGCCAGGCCCTGTGCTGATAGGTGCTCCTGGCTGGCCCCATCCCCTGAGAGACAAGTAGCAAAGCCAGGTCCAAGCTCTGTCTGAAGATCAAGCAGAAGCTCCTCTTACAAAGAGCTCCGGAGCTCAGCGACTCACTCCCAGTCATCGCTCTGGAACCTTTGCTGGTGTCGGCAAGCTCAGAAATGCCATCCCTGACATTATTTCAAACCTGGAGGATCAGCAGCCTGGGCTGAGCCGGCCAGCTGATGGTCACCGAGCGTCCCACTAAGATCTGGGGCTCCCAGGGCACTAGGCTAGAGTGTAGGGTGGGTGACAAAGGCCTCTGCAGAAACACCCCAGCTCCTGTGGACTAACTGCTGAGGGCTATGTGGCCCTGCGGGAAAGGCTTTCTATGTGCTCCTGAATTTTAGTTTTCCAACAACCCTGTGGATTGGTTACTGTTATTCTTTCCATTTCACAGATGAGGAAACTGAGGTGAAAGAGGTGAAGCTGCTTGCTTGAGGTCACAGAAAATGCTATACTGAATGGCCTGGGCTTTGAACTTGGGTCGGGCAACATCCGTGCCTCTGCTCTGAGCCAGGGCCCTCCACTGCCTCCCACCTCCTTTTCTGAATCCGTCTCTCTACAGCTCCTTGACTGGGGACCTGAGACCCTGGGATTACTGTGTGACTTCCAAAGTGTGACGTTCTTGGAATTGTGGAGGCCCTTTTCTAGCCCGATTTATGTCTTCCTCTGCATACCTCACCCCCAGCCATCTTCAGGACACAGCCAGGGCTAAACGGGACATGATAGCATCACCTGGGGAGCCTGAGAAATCCCGATGCCCAGGTTACACCCCCACGCATGTGCCACATGCCCTGGGACCCAGGCATGGGTAATCCCTGCTACAGCAGGGGGTTTGTTGAGAACATCCATATAAAGCATTCAGAAAATGGTATTCTGTCACGGAGCCGGGGTTCCACTGGGCTTCTTAATCCCAGCCTCTCACCAGAATCACCTGGGGAGCTTTCAGAAATACCCAGGTGTGGGCCTAACCCCCCGAGATTCTGTTTAAATAACATAGTTTTTGAGCTTCCCAGCTGATTTTAGCCTGTCGTCTATGTGATGATGTCCTGGCTTAGGATGAAAACTAATTGTCTGAAAAGAAATTTACCCTGGGGCTGGTTGCGGTGGCTCATACGTGTAATCCCAACACTTTGGGAGGCTGAGGTGGGTGGACTACTTGAGCCCAGGTGTTCAAGACCAGCCTGACCAACATGGCAAAACCCTGTTTCCACTAAAAAATATACATTAAAAGAAACAAAAAAGAAATTTACCCTAAGAAGTGCATACTACTCTTCCCAGGGCTGATGTCCTATTGTTTTTCCCTGTGAGTTCAAAGGTCACCTACTCAGAGGGGCACCCCCTGACCCCCACCTCACTCCCAGCGACAGTAACTCCATCCCCACTCTCTGCCACTTTATCTAGTTCCCTCATCCTCATAGCATATTTTACTGTCTTGTGTTGAATAAAGCTCCCCTAAAACTCATGTCCACCCAGAACCTGGGGATTCCACCTTATTTGGAAATAGCGTCTTTGCAGGTATAATCAACTTAACAGGACATCGTGGGGGATATGGGAATTAGAAAAGTCCCTCTTCAAAATTTCCTTTCTTGTTTAAGAAAAATTCCTAAGTGTGAGAAATAATAGTTTGTTTTGAACACTTTCTCAAAAGGCTTCTTGCTTTTTGCTAGAAGCCCTACCCTAGGTAGCTTTTGGACATGCTTACAGGCACGTAGTACGTTCTGTGTCCTTGTATCTTACCCAAGCTGTCTGTGCAGGACACGCTCACAGGCCTGTCCCAGCTCACAGCCTACGTCTCTTCCTTATTTGGATTCCTTTTTTGCTCTCCATTGCTTTTACCTGTTTAGAAAAGTTTCAAGTTATTAACCAATCGGGTTTTAGCTTAGATTGTGAGGCCTGGCTCCAGCCAAAGGAGATCAGACACAGCAGTAAGAGCAACGCCAAACTAGGAAGAAGTAAATGTGTCTGCTTTCCTTTGATCTTTGTACTCTCATGGCAAGATTGCTAACGGGAGTACCCTTTCTGCAGGAAGTAAAAAGAATTGCTTTGCTTGGAGGTCCTTTGTCCCAGGACTAATTTTTCTTTGTGACACCAAAAAGAAAACTTTTATATATAAAAGGGGATCAGGCTGAGCCTCAAAGCCAATATCACTTAGAAGAAGAAAGCTTGAGCTCTGTTTCCAGCTACTCGGGAGGCTGTGGAGGGAGGACTGCTTGGCCCAGGAGGTTGAGGCTGCAGTGCTATGATTGCGCCCCTGAGCTCCAGCCTGGATGACAGAGAGCAACTTTGTCTCTACAAATAAAAATGAAAAACAGAAGAGGAAAATCTGGATGCAGAGACACCCAGGGAGAGCGTCAGGTGAAGGAGGAGGCCAGGTGAGGCGTCTAGAAGCTGAGGACTGCCAGCGACTAGCAGAGGCTGCAAGAGAGCCGGAAGCCCCTTCCCTTGAGCCTCCAGAGGGAGCAGGGCCCTCGACACCTCGATCGCAGACTTCAGCCTCCAGCACTGCGAGAGAACGGGTTTCTGTTGTGTTAAGTCACAGTGTGCGGTCACCTGCTACAGCAACCACGGGGGACTAGTGCATTCACCTCTGGAAATGACGGGATTTATTCCTGGCTCTGCTTACCTGTGGCCCAGCTCCCCGACGGCACATGAGCAACGGTAGAAGCGCCTTGTCTGCTCACTGCTCCAGCCTCCGCACCCGAAACAGTGCTGGAAACACTGCTGGTTCACAGACGTTCTCAAAACTTTTGCTTAAACAAATAAAAGGCATAATCCTGCCATCTCAGGCAGACGGGTGAGCTCTGCTCGGCTTGTGCGGGACAGAAAGGGATACACTTTAATTTAGCACTTGTGGCAAGGGGATCATTGTTCTAAATGTTTTATTTTCCTGTTATCATTCAACCACTTAACAAGCGTGTGACGTAGATGCACTGATTATTCCCGTTTCACAATGAAGTAACTCAGGCTCGGAGGTGACGTCAGCTGCTGGAGTGCAGACGGCACGGAAGTGGGAAAGCGAGGAATCGAACCCGGGGCCATCTGACTTGAGAAACCCCGTGCTTTCCACAGGAGTGGCCTAGCCAGCACTCACCTGCTCCAATCCAGAGAGCAGGCCGAGCCAGCCAGGGCCTCACTTGGCAAGGTGGCCAAACCTGGCCTTGACAAACGTTTCTCCAAATTCCTGTCCTCTCAAGCATCTTTCTCTATCTCCCTTACAATCACTTCTGGAATTTGAGCTGGACACCTAATTTATCAAGGGCCCTGGAGCCTTCTGGAAGACCACCTAAAGAGGACAAGTCCAAATTAGAAGTGTTTATCTTGTTTCTGAACACGATGCTTTCGCATCTCGGCTTTTCCTAGGAAGCACTTTGTTCAGGAATGAAGTTGGGTGAGACTAACCTGCGCTCACATTCTGGGCGAGGGAAGAGCGTGCCCTGTTTTTACACTGAAAAAGACAGAGCAAGCTGTATCCCCGGGGAAAGTGAGTAAATCCGATTCTGGCCGATCCTTTTGCAGGGCTCTTAGGACTGCAGAAGGATCTGGATTTGCCAAGTCCAAGAAGCCCAAGTCATCTCTGCCTAAAAATGATTAACAAGGACCTGCTTATTCTCTTTCCGGTGACGACTGAGCACGCCGTGAACCTGAGTGTTCTGTGCGCTGCCTCGACATACCTCTAAATTATTCTGACATCTTCCTCC